ATTTAACTTATATTATTATACATATATATACATATATAGTAAGTAAAAAAAATAAAAAAATATATATATATATATATATATATATATAATAGTCCAAAATCCATCTTAAAAAAAGATCATTAAGAGGGAACACATAGAGTCCTAAGACCCAATAAAACCCCTGTTTTTTTACTTTCTGTAACTTATATTTGCTATAAATTTATGTAATTATATTTTGTTTAACCATTGAAACGTAAATTACATTTTTGAAAAATCACAAATAATTTACATAATATTGAAGAAGATAATATATGCTTGGAAAATTCAAAAAACTTCACCAATTTTTGAAAAAGTAAGGAATATTTATAGTAACCAACTTTGGTACATGAAAGTTTCAATTATTTATAACTATCTGATGTGAAATCTGACAGCTTGAAAATAAATAGAATATTTAAAAATTTTAACTTTTGCCTGATAATTTGATCCACTCCTCTGACCAACCCATTCAAATCTAATGGCCAGATTGTGACCGTGTGCCTATCGATAAATAATTTTATCCATCTTCCTTTGTCAATTTCAAATTTCAAATTTCAACCATGCACTCAAGCACACATTATCGTACGGCAAAGAATCAATAATCATATCTGTCGTTGTGTATTATTTGCGTGGAGAAGAACACACTTTGTGCCAATCACAAAAGTTCACCCAAGACTACGGCTCACCTCCACCATCCTTCTTGAGAAAGGCGGTTGATGTGCATCCTATATTTGAGATGTTTCGTACACAACATATGTAATCTTACCACACCACCCTTTAGAAGGGCAGCACCTAAATTTTGATCCGAATTAAGGGCATTAAGCATAAAAGAAAGTCACTTGCTTTTAAAAAAAAATTAATGTCATTGGTTGAGGAGATATTGGTCTTTTCTCAAATGCTTTGCCATGATGGGCATCAAGAGACATGGGGGCCATCTTTTTGGGAGACAACCAAAACCGACCCTAACTTTATTTGCATTTGACCATAAAAGGATAACCCCAGTTGAAATGTCTAAATTGACCTTCTTTTTATTTAAGCACACTTTTTTATTATTACTATTATTATTATTATTATTATTATTATTATTTTTATTATTATTTTTATTATTATTATTATTATTATTATTATTATTATTATTATTATTGTCTTGAATAAATTAGTGGCGAATTGGTAATACCATTGAAAAGGAAAGGAGCAGGTATTTATCCCATAAGGAAAAGATTTATAAAAGTTCGCAACATTATATTATTGAAAAAAAGTGTTTAGAAGTTGAAAATTATTTTGTAAATCATATCAACATCGAGATTATGGTATAAAGAAAAAAAATGATTTCTATGTCCTAAAAATTGTTTTGTAACAAACTACCTTAATGGTCTACTTTTAAGATGTTTATTTATCTGCTTAATGTGCTCTATTTTTTAATTTTAAATTTTTTAATTAAAATAAGATATAAATTTTCAAGTTTTATAAGTTTCCAACACCAGCACGAGGTTTTTTGATAAAATTTAGAGACGTACTTTACTTATAATATAAGATGGGCACCTTTCACAAGTGTCACCTTTTACAAATTTAAAAAAAAAATGTTTGAGAGGCATATAGCATATAGACCTTCCTGCAAGTACCCTTTTGATATTTTTTAGAAGGTGAAATATCGGCATTCACCGTTCACCTAAACATGAGGATAGTTTTGATATTCTAAACCGTACGGTTTGTGTAACCGAGGCTCTAAACAATCAAAGTAAAAAAATGTACCTTCAAATAATGTTAGACAAATGTGATTTCAATAAAAGAAATCTTTGTCTTAGCTTTAAAATTTATTTCCATCTCTAATTATAAAATTTAAAATTTCAAAAATAGTGTAGATACTTAAAAATCTTGAAAAATAACGATCCAAAATGCATTACAGGATGCAGTATTTCCAAATCTTGCAATTTATATTTTCAGATAACAATTTGAGGAATTTTTAGCATCAAAATAACATCTTTTAGTGAAATTTTTGAGTTGCTCTTTAATGTGATTGTTTAGAGCGTCACACTTATGTGAATTCTTTTTTATTTTAAAACAATTATGTATTATAGATATAATCAAAGGGAAATGTTTCTATACTTCCTCTACAACATAGAAGATTTACGCTTCACCTATCATCCAGCCGTCCAATTTTGATCAAGTCACTTATCATTTGATCTTAGATAAAACGTCTCAAAGTATTTTATTTTTAGTTTTTTTATACAAATTGTTTGAATATGAAATTTGGTATGTGTCATCTTCTCATTGGGGTGCACATATAAAAATATTAAAAATAATTTTTTCATAAAACATAATAACCAAAATATCCCTTAAAACTTTCAAAAGTATTTTGATCATTTTATTTTATTAAAAATATTTTTTTAATATTTTTTACTAGTGCGAGTTTAATAGAAGATTGGACATCCAAAATTTGATGTCAAAATAGTTTATATAAAAAAATTAAAAATAAAATGGTATATAACTTTTATGCTGTAGGGTAAGCATATGCCCATAATAAAATTAAAAAATTAATGGAATTCTGTCAAATTCCCTCTTAATTAATCAATATCCTCTGGTTTACGAAACAATTCTTCTCTCTCTCCGCAGCAACCGTGGTCATTCCCTCTGTCAAAGCTTCTACACATTTACATTCTTTTCTCTGACGGCTTCAACTTTGTTTGGTCAGCTGACCGCCCTTTCTCTTTATTCCTCCCTTCTCTCCTCCTCATATAATCTCACCTCCATTATCACCAGAACCCATTGTCTCTCTTTCTCTCTCTGCTGTACATACTCCATTATCGTCAAGGCCCATCTCTCTCTTCTGTACATACCTCCAAACTCTTCCCCCTATACCCATAACTTTAGTATCATCAAAACCCATCTCTTTCTTTCTCTCTATTTCAATTGCAGACGCCTGTATCATATCAGTCAGGAGCCATGGCTGGTAACAAGTTTGCATCCATGGTTCACAGAAACTCATCTAAACTGACTCTCATCCTTGTCTATGCAGTCCTTGAATGGGTTCTCATTGCCCTTCTTCTTGTTGATGGTCTTTTTTCCTATCTGATACGGAAATTCGCTGCTTTCTTCGGCCTGAAGCCTCCATGCCTGTGGTGTTCCAGAGTTGATCATGTTTTGGAACCCAACAAAGATAAGCACTATTACAGAGAGCTTGTGTGTGATAACCATGCCAAAGAGATTTCAAGATTGGGTTACTGCTTGAACCATGCAAAGTTGGCTGAAGCCTGTGAAATGTGTGAGGAATGCTCTCTCTCTAGGCCTTCTCAGAGCAAGCCTGAAGGTTGGGTGGCCTGCGTTTCTCTGCTTAGGAGCAGCAGCAACAAATTAAAGATCGAAAATGGGGTTGAGGAAGTGAGGTGCTCGTGTTGTGAAGTCAATTTGGAGGATGGTTTTTACTCCAAGTTTTTTTGGAGGAACAAATTGTTCTCCACCCCCTCTTGGGAGGTCTTTGATTACCCACAAAAGGCCACAGTGATCGAGGATCGCGAATGCACTAGAGAAGAGGTGAATTCGAGCGAGCCAATTGTTGATATCTCGAAAGGACCCATTGATTGTTCGGATGTTCATGGCGATCAGGCTGTAGGGATCGAAGTTTCAGATTCATATATTGACAAGGATTTTGTATGTGAAGATAATGGAGGGGCATTTACAGAGACCGTCTCAGAGGAAATGGAAGGAGCTGACTCTGTTTCAGAAGAGGCAGATGCAGAAGATGGTGTTGCAGAGAATGGATTGATCAAGGCTCAACCAGGGTTATCAATGGATTCAGGTACCGTTTCTGATACTTGTTTTAGTTTCGCAGATGGTAAGCATATAGATGATGAAGCTTCCAGAATTGTGTCCATGAGTTTGGACCATAGTGGGGATCACGACCGCCTGTTGCCAGTCGATTTAATCGATTCCTTGACTGCTAAAAACCAGAGGCCATTAAAGTTAATAAGCGAAATTGAAGATATGAAAATGGGTTCTGGTCCTCTGATATTGGAGGAGGCCAAGGTTGATGATGAACAAGGTGAAAAGTTGGTTGCTGAATCACTGGTTCACGACCAAAGTGGAACAGTCACCAGTAAAGAGGAGCTCAAAGAAGAGAATGAATTGATTTCTTCATTTGGGAAGAGAGAAGAACTCATCATTCATGAGAAGATTGAGCCTGTGATTCCTGTTGAGGAACCAGGAGAGATGGACATGAAAGCTGCTGCAGATGATGATCGTGGTTGTTCTTCAGTGTTGCAGGCTGAAGAGAACCATGGTATTCTGGAGAGAGAAATTGATGATTGTGAAGAACCAGGTAATGGCCCAAAACACCAATGCTCTCTACCTTTTTAATGAATTTTTTTTTATCCATATGTTCTAAAACCATCATTTCCTTTGTTGATTAAGTGAAAGAAAACTGTGAAACCATAGAAGCAGAAGACCAGTCTTTGAGCTCTCCAGTAGAAAGGATCCCTGATCTGCCGCAAGTGTTTGAACCAGTTGGAGCAGAGCAATGTTCTGAGCGTATTGAGGAAGTGCAGAACTCTGATCTGCCCCAAGTGTTTGAACCAGTTGTAGCAGAGCGATGTTCTGAGCGTGTTGAGGAAGTGCAGAGCTCTGTTCTGTCTGATGATGATAGAGATCAAGGTGCTTTCTATTTTCTAATTTCTCCATTACTCTTCTTTGATTTTTATTTCCTGTAATATTTGGTCCCAACATAGAGTTGGTCATGTTTTTTGTAGATTTACTCTTACTCTTGATTTCAAAATCACGAATACTTTCTTGTAAGATTTGAACCCAACACAGGGTTTGTGATACTTTTGTATACTGTTACTTGTAATTTCGCAATTATATTGATTACTTGTAAGATTAAAAACTATCAGGAGGATTGGTACTCATTAATAGAACCAGTATTAATATTGGAATCATGTATGGATAATACAGGAGCAAACCAGATGAGAAAAACCACTGCTGAAGGAGATTCCTGCTCAGAATCTCTTCCTATAAATGAGACTGATAAACCAACTGAGAAGCCAAGAGAGAGAATGAAGCAGCTATCAGTATATGTAGAATTCAATGAAGGGGAAGAGGACAAAGCCCCAGAAACCCCATGCTCCATTGAAGGAATTCATTCCCTTCATAAGCGGCTACTCTTCGAGAGAAAAGAATCAGGGACCGAGTCCTTAGATGGGAGCATTATAAGTGAGATCGAAGGGGGAGAAGGATCAGTGATTGAACGCTTCAAATCAGCTCTCAAATCAGAACGAAGGGCTCTGAGTGCCTTATACACAGAGCTAGAAGAGGAGCGAAGCGCCTCAGCCATTGCCGCAAACCAAACAATGGCCATGATCACTCGACTTCAAGAGGAGAAGGCTCAAATGCAGATGGAGGCCCTCCAATACCAGAGAATGATGGAGGAGCAATCTGAATATGACCAAGAAGCTTTGCAGCTCCTTAATGAGCTAATGGTGAAGAGAGAGAAGGAGAAGCAAGAGTTGGAGAGAGAATTGGAGGTGTATCGGAAGAAAGTGAGGCGTTATGAGGCAAAGGAGAGGAAGATGAGAGAGAAAAGACCTGTGGAAAATGGGGGGATGGGGAGAAATGGAGTTTCCTCTGCCTCTTCGAGCACTGAGGATAGTGATACACTATCTCTTGATCTTAATGAAGGGGACGAAGGTTTCTATGGAATTCAAGAGAGTAATCAAAACACCCCAGCTGATGCTATTCTAAGCTTGGGCAAGGGACAACTCGAAACAGATATCAAAAGTTTGACCACCCTTGATGAATCTTTGGCTGAATTCGAAGAAGAGAGGATCTCTATTTTGGAACAACTAAAAACTTTAGAGGAGAAGCTCTTCACTCTTGGAGATGACACAGATTGCATAACTGAAGAAACCATCGGCAATGGAAAGCATGTTTGCGCAAGAAGGAACATGGGGTCGAAAGCAAAGAGGCTTCTTCCACTTTTTGATGCCATGAGTGGTGAGAATTTAGAGCAGGAAGCCCGAGAAGCTGAGGTTTATGACCATGGAGGCTTAATAATGCATTCTGGTTCTGGTTTTGACTGTGAGAAAAACCAGCTTGATATCGAAGAGGAGGTGGAGCATGTCTATGAGAGATTACAGGCTCTTGAGGCAGATAGAGAGTTTCTAAAGCACTGTATTGGATCACTGAATAAAGGAGACAAAGGGATGGATCTTCTTCAAGAGATATTACAGCATTTGCGTGATCTGAGGAATGTAGAACTCAGAGCAAGGAGCTTTGGTGATGTGATTGTTTGATTTCTGGCTATGCTGCTAGATGAAAAGGGTAATGAACTACTCTCTCTCACTGATGTTTGATGGCACAATTTTTATTTGCATTTTGATTAGAACCTAATGCGAATTGCTACTGTGACATTTGCAGGGATACCGATCCGAGAGATTTGCAGAGCCAAATCAATGCGGAAACCGTGTGTTAACTCCAAAGTTCAGGGGTAGCAGATGCTTCTCTCATCATCCATCTATGGTGATCATAGATTGAAGCTGATGAGAGACAGAGGGACGATTGAAGTTGGTGTCATCTGAAGTTGTTATGCTTCCATCTCCATGGAAGAGGAGGCTCAGGGTTAAGCCTTCTTTGAGTGTGTAAAACAGATCCCAATTAGGTCTGTACTTCCCTTGTTTTCATTCTTTTTCTTTTCTTTTTCCTTTCCTTCTTTTGGCATCTTTAGTCAGTCATGAAGCCCAAGTTTTTGTGGGGTTTTCTCATTCTCGCCATTGAGTGGATGGTGAATGGGGCAGAGGGGAATTTCAGGTATCCCTTTTGTAAAAGTGAGTGTGTGTACAACCCTGGCTTGCAAAGCTGGAACAAAAGCCACCTAAGATTCCAGTGCCAGGTAAATAGAGAGAAAAAGTAGAGATAGAGTCATAGAACCAGCACAAAAGTTTGTTTCATCTAGTTTATTATATTATTTTTAATATTCTTAAATGTTTATTTTTTAAGGGAGGTAACAGATTTATGTTTCCCTCTTTTGATTCTTTGTGAGTGGTTGTTTCTGATGATCTGTGTATCTCAGGCTGCTGTGATTGGCTTGTGCAGTTGGTTGGGCTCTGTTTGTTTAGTGTTTTATAGAGAGAGAGGACAATAAATGTTGGGGTTGCAATGTAATGTAATGGCAGCAGGAGAGAGAAAAGTTGGTCATCTTTTGTAAACTTTCGTATGAATGTAAAATTTGATTGTTTGCTTGTGAGGGAGCCTACTGGCACTTGGTGGTATTTTGGCCGTTACTGTAATAAAACAAAAAGGGACCAGCTCAACTGGTTATGTTATAACTGTTTTTTTTGCAAATCAACATTATGAAAATCGTTTGATCCGATTTAGGATTATTGGAGAATCATCAAACTTCTGTTAGGGAATCAACCCGACTTCACAAAACTCCTTGTTGGGACTCACATGATCCTTAATAGATCTGGCCATTCTATGGGATTTCACTAATATTGTTCTGAAACCCTTTTGATTTGGTTCTTGTTTTTCCCTCAACTTCTCTTACGCTTGTCCCATCATTTTCAGGATCAAAATCTCACAAGATCAAATTTTGGTTTGTTTTCCCTTTCTCAAACCTCAATTGTCCAGTTTTTTTATTAAGCTCTAATGGTTTTCTTTATTTTCTCCTCTATGAAGATTCTTATCAAAAATTTCAAGATCCGAACCCCTAATCATAGAAATTAGAACCTCAAAATCTAGGGGGTTCATCTATTAAAACATTTAGCAACAAACCCTAATTAGTGAAATCACATAAATGATTGCAAAAAGCACTTTAAAAGCCAGGGGTTGTTGGGTGGGCATCCCGGTTCTTGGATGGTTTGGATTTTGGAGTCACTTGGTTCTCACTTATTTTTATTTTTTATTATTGTTCTGTTATTCTCTACCTGTGTGTAACCAATTCAACCACCTAACTTGCTTTTAAAAAAATAAAAGTTATTGTATAGCACACGTTTTGAGATCTACTAATTCCCATTCTGATTTTTATATAAACCTTATATCTTAATTGAATACCTACTAACTTGATCAAGTATTGAAATCAATTTTTTTTCAATTTCATTAAATGGAGACTTTTAAATAATGAGTAGAAGGATTGGTATCAAGAATTGCAAATGTTTTTTTGTTTTCATTGATCGTAATAGACAAAACAAACAAATGAGTTCAAGTGATCTATTGATTTCTTTCTATTATATATTTGCTCCTCTATGAACAAAAGAATGAAAAAAAAAAAAAGAGTTATTATATCGTCGTTTATACTTGTTTGCAAATACTTCAACAAAACCAATAATAATGTTGTATAACTATTGGGGTGGGGACACATAATTTAACAACGAATTAATAATTTTATTATATAATATACTAAGTATAAGTCAACTAATACATTAAGTATAAATGGATTTCTAAGTTGCTTTCTAAAAACTAAAAAAAAATTCTTGATTGATATTGATAAAACTGAATTAATAGGGAAAATTAGAATCCCCATCTCATGAAACATACAAAAATGTACTTACTAGATTACTATAACTATATTATATTCTTATTTGCATATTAAATTTTAAAAAATAAATAAATATCGGACTAGGGCACACCTTGAGTGGACTCGTTGTACATGCATGATTAAAAATAAAAGGAAAAGAATAAAAATTTCATAAATTAAAAATTAAAAAACGGATTTGGGGAGAGAGAATTTGGGAAGGGACAGAGAGTTATGCCGATTCAGAGTAGGGCTCCGCCACTTCTTTCTATTTGTGGGACTACTGGGGGATGAGGGCAACGACACTGGAACATAGGCTCAGCACCTAGAGTCGGGACCTGAATAAGCTTAAGATGTCGATGTGTCCTTCTCTTCAATCTTCAAAATTAGTTTTACCAAAAGAAATTATCTTGAACTTTAAAGATAATTTTAGACCTACAGATACTTTGGGTATTTAGGGGATGACAAAGATTGAATGGGGTTAGGAGGCTGAAAATCTTAACTCAAAATAGTATATTATTCAACATTAAAAATTAGGATATGATCAAAATAAGAAAGGCAAGGCATTAAGTCCCCTGCTGTCTAGCATTCATGTTGTAAATTTAACCATGTTTTCAAAAATCCTGTAGAGTTAGGAATTACATAACCTTTTTGAAACAACAACACAAAAAAAAAAGGTTCAAGTCCTAAGCAAAGGCACCTACAACAACTTTTAAAAATTTCAAAATTTTAAACATTATTTTTGAAACCTTGCAGTGATAAGATTTATATAAATAAATTTAATTTTTTTTAAAATTAATTATTTGAAACAGGGTAATGTTCTTTCATATATCAATTCCAATTCCTATGTGCAAGGAAAAAATTTAAATCTTGCCGAGCTTCATATAGCTCTCCTAATATTGGAAAAGACTATAGCAAGAATCCTCCTAATTTTTTGACATAAAAACTAGGGAAAATTATGTAAATATCTATTTTATTTTCCTTTATTACGAATAACCTAATACTTTATCTTATTACACATATGTCCATTTTTGGAACTTCATAATTTTTTTTAAAAAAAATATAGATGAAACTACTCATTTTCGATTTTTCTTATTTTTTTGAACTTCATAATAATTTATCATATGTTGTGTCTTTCATATAGCCAAAAACTCGTATTCTACAATCCAGTAAGCAGCTTGCCGCCAAGGCCGCTCGTAAATCTGCTCCAACAACTGGAGGAGTGAAGAAGCCTCACAGAGATCGCCCTGGAATGTGGCTCTCCGAGAGATTCGCAAGTATTAGAAAAGCAGAGAGTTGCTGATAAGAAAGCTGCCCTTCGAAAGGACATCAAGACTGATCTGTGTTTCCAGAGCCATGCTGTGTTAGCCTTTCAAGAAGCAGCTGAGGCTTAATTGGTGGGTCTCTTTGAGGATACTAACCTTTGTTTCATTCACGCCAAGAGAGTCACCATCATGCCTAAGGACAACCAGCTTGCAAGGAGGATCAGAGGCGAGAGGGCTTGATTAATCCATGACTCATCTCTCTGGTGTTTCTGCTTTCATAGGGAAGACATACTGATGTTTTTGTTTCTTTCATTTCATGAGATAGAAGGTCATCTATACTAATTAGGTAGGGGATTCATTTATTTTTGTGTGTGCATAGGAATGTATAATTCTACTGCTACCCTATAGTCATTAGCTTTAATTCTGACTTAAAAAAAGAAGAACTGACCCCGCGCGTTCTCCCTCTAAATCCAAGCTCATTCTTTCTCTCTTCTTTCTCTCTTAAACAAATTGCGCTCTCTCTCTCTAAATCCACGTTCATTCTTTCTCTATCTCAATCAGATTGCCCTATCTCTTAATTCAAACAAATCGTTTTCTCTATTTGTGACATCGCCCTCTCTCTCCTAAACAAAAAAAAACTTCAAGTAAGTAAATTCGGTTGTTAAGTTCACAGAAATAAATTCAGTTTTTGAAAAATCAAAATTATTAAAATTTTGGTTTTTCAAAAAGTAAACTGAAAATTTTAAAATTTCATTTTTTTGAAAAATGAAAATAGGTAATTTCATCTTTTTAAAACAAATTGTTATGAAGTTCAAAAAACGGACATACATGTAATAACGGAAAGTATTAGGTGTTTTCGTAACAATAGAAAATAAAAAGAATATTTACAAAATTTTCTTTAAAAAGTAAGAGACAAAGAGAGAAAAGAAGAGCAAAAAAAAAAAGGTACAGACAGAATCAGAAAAATCACAAAAAAGAAAGAAAGAAAAAAAAACATAATTAAAGGACACCAGTCCAACCTCATATGATTTCTATAAAGTATATTAGTAAGTCAATGTTAAGGGATTAACATATATCGCAAGAATTAGAAGGTATATTGTTCTTTAGAAAAGATTTAGGGCATGTAACCTTAAAAATAAAAAAAAATAAAAAAAACAAAACAAAACAAAACCGAGAGAGAGAGAAAAGGTATGAGAGAAAGAGAGGTGATCTTTGAGGGAAAATGGGAGAGGAAGAGAGGGTGATCTTTGAGAGAGAGAGAAAGATAGAGAGTGAGATGATCTTTGAGGGAGAATGGGAGAGAAAGAGAGCGATCTATATGTATGTGGGTGTGAGAGAGAAATGATATTTGAAGGGGATGTGGAGAGAGATGGGGACAATTTTTTATGGGAAGGAGAGAGAGAGATGTACAAATATAATTAAAGGAGAGAGAGGTAACATGAAAAATAAGGGTGACTGAGAGAGATTATCTCATGTTAGAATTTTAATAGAAAGATAGAAACAAGAGGGAGAGAGAAGAAAGTGTAACTATCTATCTAAGTATATAGAAAGAGATGTGTGGAGATAAGATATCGACTATCTTGTCCTCTATCTACTATCACTTATTTTTTCTCTCCACAATTTCCATTATCCTTTCTTTCTACTCTTTCTTTCTCAGCATTTCTGTATTTATTTTTCACTCTATTCATCATCCTCTCTCTATCTCTCTCCGTATGTCTGTATATGTGTGCAAAACGTAATAAGAAAGCAATAATGGAGCAAAGAAAAGGTGAAATTTCATATTATGAATCCCAATTTCAAAGAGTTTTGAGATTGCAAAAGCCAATGAGAAGGACGAATGCTCAAATAAACAACTAGTAGAAACTACCCTAATAATTTTTATGAAAGTATTTTACTTTATAAAGGATCCACTTTTTTTTGTATGTTTTAAAGTATTATTTCTAAAGGATCCAAAGTGAATAACCTTTAGATAAGGATTCTTAGTCATTTGTATAATTTCTGAGTGCATAATATTGATGAGGTATGTTTTATGTGTTGGGGTTCATTGTAACAATTCTTGAAGCAATTGAAATGGCCCTAAAATATTAAAGAATCAAGTGTTTTGTCTCTTATATTTTGAAGTTTTCAGTTTTGATAACGTTTACCCATTTAGGGTGTCGAATTATAGAAAAAGGAGAAATATCATCATAGGTTATCCATAAGGAAGCGTTTTGATACAATAGTTAGTTTACCCATTTAGGATGTCGAATTATAGAAAAAGGAAAAATATCATCATAGATTATCCATGAGGAAGCACATACAAAACAATAAATATACCTATGTGAAAAAATATTCAAATAAATATCTATATATAAAAATATATATATCAAAGCTATAAATTATATTTTTATATCACTTTTCTTCATATCTTTTGTTCACTTGTAGATTATGAACTTTAATATGCCTGAAATATTTTTGGATAAAATTTTA